GGAAGCTCACACCGGCTGCCGGCCGCTCATGCTGACTGCTGGCCACACACGGTAGCTTATGGCAGCCCACTGCAACCTCACTGCAGCCTATGTCTTCCCGGGCGACTCACAGCAGCCCAGCTCCAGGTCGAGCTGTTGTTCACCATCTTAGCTGTAGAGGGTGCAGTGTCACTGGCCCTAATGTGGGATCCGAACTGGAGCCCTGCTGCTCAGAGCTGGCGTCCCAAGCCAGCTCTTAACCAGTGCGCCACTCAGCGGGCCCCTCTAGGTACCCTTAACCCCTAACCTACTGCCTGGCCCACAGCAGTCCTCCATCCACACCTGCTGATGCCTCACTCCACTGAGCTCAGAGCAGCCCACAGAATGTGAGCAGAGCCCTCAACTTGGGAAGTCCCAGAGCAGTTCTGCAGCCGAGTTGCTTGTTCTAAGAGGAGGAATCCTGCGAAGTTTCTGCCACCTAAGGATTCATCTGAGAATTTCTGAACTATTCTTGGTGGCATCTCCACTTAAAGCAGCATTTGGGAGATTGCCTGGGAGGTGACGTCATCAAAGGGGGTCCTCCAGCCAACAATGCAATCCAATAGATTCTGACAGGGGGCTGGACTAACAGGTGGGGAGGGAACAAAGAAGAGCGAAGTAAAAGCCATATCCCAGTCAGTCACGGAGACTGAGAGAAACCCAGTGGAGGCAGCGGGCTCGTGTCAGAAGGTTCAACCAGTGGCTGTAGCTATTGGGAGGTGATGACTCCTGGCTCCGGTGGAGGGAGGAGGCAGAGAACTTCAAGGGGGAGCATTCCAGTAGGCAGCTCACTGCTAACAAAAGCACTGAGGTACCTGCTGGGGAATAACAAGCAGGCCAGCTTGGCAGGAGGAAGGTGGATAAGCAGGAAGTGGAGTCTGGGAAGGGCCTGGAACGGGATCCTTATACCTGGGCCTGGACACATTTCATGATTTGGAGCTTGAAACGGGGCAAAATCAGGAGACTAAGTGCATTTTTCAAGGCACATAATAAACAAACAGGGGGAATCCTTTTCTCAAAGGTTGAGACTCCTAAGTTGTCACTGTAACGTCAGGCAATTCACTGGAGCTTCTGGGCAGAGCAAGATAAAACTCAAAGTTGCCTGGGATGGGTCGGCCTTACAGTTTATCAAGATGGCCTGAAGTAGCATGGCCCTTAACTCACGGGTGCCTACTAAAAACCTTTCGGGAGGGGGGAGGGAGAACTGGTATAATTGTTCTCATTTTACCCAAACTGACACCCCATTCCCTGTTCACAATCCCAGGGGTACTCTTGGAGGTATCTCCGTGTTTCCACAGAAAAGGGTGCACAGCCTGAGTTGAGTACGAGAGACCCTGTATGCAAAAACATTCATTCTCCAGGGGGGACCCGGTCCCGAGCAAAGCCATGGCCTGGAGAAGCCGAGAGTTCACACACAGCTAATTATAACTGCGACTACAACTTCGTACAGTAATATCAGGGATCACCGGAGGGTTTGGGGGCGGAGAAGAGGCTTAGGGCCGGGAGGCTTTGAGGGTGCGGTGTCTATCGGCTTCAGTAGGACCAAGGAAGCAATGCAGACGTGAGCGTGGGAGAAAGGCGCATGCAGCAAAGACACGCAGGAACCTTGTATTCTGGCGGCAAGAGTGCCCGAGAGCAAGGCTCGTGGCTTGGCTGGGCACCGCAGCCGGTGACGCGCCACTAGGCCCTCTCCCCTTGGCAGGTTCGCGCCCACGTTTCCTTCCTCTCGCAGCACTGTCTGCACCTCGATGGGACACAGCGGCCGGGAGGCACGGAGGTGCCAGGGTTTCCACCTCGTGGAGGCTGGCGCAGTGCCTGTCGCTGCTAAGCACTTTTGGACTCAAAAGCCTCAGATAAGGAGATCAAAGCCCAGATGGGGGTGGACAGGCCAATCCCGCCGCTGCTAGTCGGTCCCCAGCGGCTCCCGAGCAACCGACAGCACAGTCCGTGCTCTTGGGCGAAGGCGGTCTCAGCTCCCTCCCCGCCGCGCGGGAGCCCCAAGGTCGGCCTTCACTCCTAGCCCCGCATCCGCATCCGCGTCGCGGGCCGCTTTCAGCCCCGCGTAGCTGTGGGGCCAAAGATCAGCCCAGAAAGTGGCCGCGAGGTCATCAGCACAACAAAGGCGGCCCCAAACGGCGCCTTCGGTCTTTTAAATGCAGGGTCTGGCCCCGGGGACAAAGTGAAGCCCCGGGGTAGAAGCAGCCGGAGGTACCCTGCACCCACTCCGCCCCATTCCCAGCTCCAGAGCGCATTCTTTTGAAATGTTAATGTTTTGAAGCTTCCCTCTTGACCTGGATCTGACTGAAGCCTCTAGGATTAATAAACAAACCAAACCGGCATTTATTTGGCAGGGGTGGGAACCGGGTAAGCATTTGTTGGTCCAAAAGACGCAGGTGGTACGTGGGCAAACGCGGGTAAATTATTACACAGCCCCAGCAACTCGTTTTAAAAAGACTCCTTTGTACACCGATTCCTGGAGTTGGAAAAGTTTTACCTATCAACAGACCCTTATTTGCACCCTCCAGACTTAGGGTCCCCGCTGCGCTGCCTGTGGCCCACGCTGGCACAGAGGAAACCGGGTCACAGGTGGAGAGTGGGGGCGGGGCCGCGGTGGGGGGGGGGAGCCAAGCCCAGGCCCCGCCCAGGTCCTGTCCCGCTGGAGTTCAGCCCGCAGCTCTGCTGAGGAGTGGCGGCTAGGACTTCAGATCTTCTGGGGTAGCAGCCCGGAGTATGGGGAGGCTGGCCGGTAGGCCAGAACCTAACACCCCCAGCCACCACGCCCGCAGGAGACACAGAGGGATGTCACAGCGGGTGTGTTTGACAAGTCTTGGCATGCGTTTCCCTGTCCACATTCGATAGCTTGTCGGGTCATTGCCAAAATATTATCAAGTCGGATTCCTTGTCCAGCCCAGCTGCTAGCAATGATAATAGTACCTGAGGACACTTTGGGAGCGCTGACACTCTACCAGGCACTGCTCAAAGCCCTTCACATGAATTAACCTGTAATGAGCCCTAAGTCATCCACTCACTTCTAGAAAGAGCACATAATCTGCTCTCCATCCATCCTTGTGGGCACGGATGTTTATGGGGTCCCAATTGTGCAGGTATGGCTCCCAGGACCCAGGACTTATGTATGCTGGGGAGGGGCTGCAGCTGTCACCAGGACACACCATCGTGGTCCTGAAACACTGCTAGGCCCCCACAATTCTGCAACTTCAAGTTTCTTTAATCCACTAAATCCTCCAAGCAGACACTGTCTGGACTTCCAAAAGCTTTTGCTTCAAGCTGGGAAAACCCAATAGAGAAATGATCATTTTTCAACGATGGGAGCCAACAATACTCATACATAATGTAGCAAGTCACACAAAGGACAGAATTCTTTCTAACTCTCCTGCGAGAGGCCCCTCAGCTCAGGAAATCTCCAGAGCTACCCAAGCTATGGACGAGGCTGGCATATATACAGGGTGATAGGGGATTGCTGAGGAGCCCTCCTACACATGGAAAGGCTGGAGTTGGTCACCCAAAGAAATCCCAGCCCAGGTATTCATAAGCATTTCTTAGAAATCCAATTCCTTCCATTTCTCTGTCCCAAGGGCAGTTTGTGGATGCCCAGGGCCAGCTGAGGGACACAGGAGAGGAAGAATAGCTTATAGTAGAGGAACCCCCTACAACCCGGTTATAGCGTGCGGGTGCTGTCAGAGGACCCAGTGGGCAGGGTGAGAAGAGACTGTACATCACCTACTAAGAAAAGGTGTACATCACCTACTAAGAAAAGGTGCTGTGGCCTTGCAATGGTGAATAAGCCTAGCTTTGTACACATCTGTCTGTCCTCTACCCTTGGAACTCACAGATACATTATCGTCCAGGTCTAGTACCTTCCCACAGGTACTAGATCTTTCCTGACTCCCCCAACCTGGTCTTTTCCTCTAAACACCCATGAGGTCTCAACTGGATCCTTATTCTTCCAGGCAGGCCTGGACCTCTGGCTTGAAAGGACAGCAGAAGGATGGGGTTCCTCTACCTGGAACGATATTTAGAGCCCAGGATAGCACGTTTCATGCCTGTGACCCTTGGAAAGACAGTCACCTCGTAAGTAGCTGGGTGATCTTGGGCAAGTCTTTTATCTTTTTTCAGTATTCCTTAAGTTTCCCATCAGTGAAGTGGTGGGCTAATACAACAACCCTGACAGGGAGGAGGTGTAGGGCAATCTGCACTGTAAACTCAGCACCTGGAAGCCTGCTCACCTGTGTTAATGCACAGTTTCTTGAGGCTTCACTATAAGATGGTAGAGAGAGGGTAATGTCACTGCCACACAGTCATCTGCCCTAGAAGCGAAATACCTGAAACTGAATCGCCCTGGCATCCTGGTTTGGGTGAGCAGCAGTCAGAGGCAGATTGGCTTTCAGAGCAGGTGACAGCCCAGAGGCCTCTCTTCTATCGGGGGAGGGAGGCAGTCAGCTAACACCTCACTGCTGGGATGGATCTTGCTTCCAGCAGGGTATCCCACTGCCTCCTGCATAGGAGGTAAGCCTAAACAGATCTTCAGACATTCAATAGCCTTGTTCTGCTTCCACTGTTTCCATCTCAAGGATATTAATCCCTAGCCTGCCCACGGTTATCAGAATTCCTTTTCAACATTTTCAAAATTAATGTATAAACTCATTGTCCATTTTCCATACTTTAACTAGAGAGGCACATAATGCCAACATGCTCAAAACACCATACGCTTGGTTTTCTGTATTGACTTTTAATTTAGAACCTATGGAAATAAGGAAGAGAGGATGATGAACTTATGAGACAGTGTGTGACACATAAGGTTCCACAAGTGAAGAGGGAAGACGGTCCAGGTAGAGGGGATTGCATGTGTCCTGCAATGGCGGCTTGAGGCTATTGGGGCAGTAAGGTGGCAAACAGCTCTAAATGCCCATGCAAATACCAATTGATATAAATTTATTTCTGGGAGGTGGGGGGAGGCACCAAGGTTTTTTTAAAAGAGGGAAGTAGTTTATTTATGTTTTAGGAATACCACTCTGGTGGCTGTACAAGAGTAGATTCATTTTTAAAATAGACTTTTTTAAAAACAGTTTTCACAGAAAAATTAAGCATACAGTACAGGGAGTTCCCATATGCCTCCCTTCCACCCCCACATCCTATTATTAACGTCTAGCATCAGTGGGGTATATTTGTTTCAATTAATAAGCCAATATTGATACATTATTAACTAACGTCCATAGTTTACATTAGGGTTCACTCTCTGTGTTGTATAGTTCTGTGAGTTTTGAAAATGCATATTATGGACCCACCATTACGGTATCATACAGAATAATTTCACCACCCTAAAAATTCTTGGTGCTTCATTATCTCATTACTCCTCCTCCCTCCCCGTGAACCCCTGACAACCACTGATCTCTATAGTGTTGTCTTTTCTAGGATCTCATATAGTTGGAATCATATAGTATGTAGCCGTTCCATACTGGCTTCTGTCTCTTTAGTAATATGCATTTACGATTCTTCTATGTCTTTCTGTAGCTTGATAGCTCATTTCTTTTGCGAAGTCTATGTTATATTTTCATTTAATATTTTCTGAACTTCTGTATCAGTACTCTCTCATAGAAATATAATGCAAGTCACAAAATTACTTTTTCTAGTAGCCACATTAAAAAGGTCAAGAGAGATGAAATTAATTTTAATAATATACGAGTATTCTACTTAATACTATCAACATTTAATTAGTATAAAAATTGAGGTACTTTATATATTTTTTGTACTAAGCCTTTGAAATCCAGTTTGTATTTTACACTTTCAGCACATCTCAAGGTGGACTAGCCATGTTTCCAATGTCCAGTGGACACACAGCTGGGCAGTGTGGTACTGAGCTGGGGATAGAGCAGGGATCAAAACAAACAAGGTCTCTGCCTTCACATAGTTGACAGTCTAGGCTGGGAGACAAATAAAGAAGTAAAATCATTTCAGAGAGTGAGAAGTGTTATTGAGAAAATAATGTACCAGAATTATACAGACTGGGAAGCTGATTTAGATTGCCTACGCAGTCGGAAAAGCCTTTCCAAGGCTGAGATCCAAATGAGGAGGCATTAATCATTAATTATCTATTGCCACAATAATGCTGTAGAACAAACCACTCCAAAATTCATAGGCTTAACGTAATAACTAGTTATTATTGCTCAGGAGTGTACAAGTCAGCTGGGCAGTTCTCCTGGCCCCAGGTGGGCTCACACATGTATCTGTGGGTGGCTGCAGGTCAGGTAGGTGGCTATGCTGATCCGGGATAGGCTCACATGTTTGGGGGCTGTTGACTGGCGGTGGATGACCTCAGCTCTTTTCCATGTGGCTTCTCATTCTCCAGCCGGCTAGCCCAGTCCTGTTCTCATGGAGGCAGGGATCCAAGAGAGAATGTGGAAGCATTCAAGGATTCTTAAGGCTCAGGCTCAGAACTACTGCCACATTCTTTTGGCCAACACAAGTTACAAGGCCAGCCCAGATCCTGGGAAGAGCTGCAAAGTCGCATTGCAAAAGGTGTGCATACAGGGGAGGGATGGAAATTCAGGCAGTTTTTGCAATTAATCTCCCATATTACTACAAAGCTTTCAATTCCACCAGGAAGTTATAAAAAGTCTAAACTTATATGTACCCAATAAATTATCCTAAAAATATAAAAACGAAAATAGAACTACAGGGCAAAATTGACAAAATTACTCTTAGAGGTGGAAGGTTTCAATGTACCTTTTGCAATTGTTGATAGGTCAAGCACACAAAAGATATTAGTATATCTTGGTAAAGATACAGAAGAATTGAACACAATCTACGAGGTTTTCGGTCAACAAGTATTTATGGCACACTTGCTGTGTGTGTGAGGCACTATTCCAGATGTGCTTGGCATATAGTAGTGAACAAAAGCCAACAATCCCTGTCCTCATAGCATTTATATTATAGTGGAAGAAAACAAATGATAAACAATATGTAAAACATACAGATAACTACTATAGAGAAAAACGACAGGAAAAGGAGATACAAAGTGCTGGGATGGCCAGGTAAGGAGCTGAACTTAAATAGCACAGTCAGAGGAGGCACTACTTAGGAGACACTAGAGGGAAAACCTGAGAGGTGAGGAAGCAAGTCATGTGCATACTCGCATCTCCAAGACTAGTGGAGGGAGCATCACCTACAAAGGTCTTGAGGCAGGAGCTGGTTTGGCAGGTTCTAGCCATAGACAGAGGTAGGCTTGGCACTGTGGGAAGGGTTCGTAGTAGTCGGGGCCAGATCACGCAGGACCTTGTAGGTCATGATAGGGATTCTGGACGTTAGTCTTGGTGATGGGACACCCCAGGAGAGTTTTTGTTTGGGGGGAAAGGGTGAAAAACCTGTGGTGAAGAGAGCTGTTTCAAGACAAGAGTCAGGTAGCTGGACCTTCAGAGGTTGCTGGGTACCAGTCCTTGTGAGGCAACGTGTGCCCAGGGAATTTCCCTAGCTTTGTCTTTGAACTACCTAGACAGCAGTTTATTTCCCAAAGGATATCACCATCTCTGGAGAACATATTCCAATTATCCTGGAAAACAAGGTAATTGGGATTCTAGTAGTATTCATTTTCTCAATGCTCAGGATAAAAATCTATCCAAAGCAAAAACAAAAGGTAACCCAGAAAGCATTCCCCTCTCCATTGGGAAAACCATCAACAATTTATGGAGTCACAGGTTATATGAAACTATTGTTAAGCTTCAAGTCACTGATAAATGCCCTGATAAATTTTTTCTCCAGATAAATGCCCTGGAGAAAAATAAAGTAGGAATAGTGAGCATTTGGGAGTGGGGGTGTTACAATTGAATATCGGCTGGTCAGGGGAGATTAACTGAACAGTCACATCTGCCCGGTATGGAAAGGGCAGGGTCTGGCCCACATCTTGTAGGGCGTTCTAAATATAACCACCACAAGGTCCAGTGTACAATTTATGACTTTATTCCAATGTATGACAAAGAAAAATTTTCCGTGGCCAATGTGCTAATTTCTGACTTCTAGTTCTCTGAACTGAACTTTATAAGTTGTAATATATTTCACTACACATTATCAGAAAAAGACTAAATAGCTCTAATTAGTAACTCCAGTTCTGACAGTTCCCATGTGTTGTGCTAGAACAAAGTCACAGTAATGGCAGAACAGATTCTTCTATTAGTTTTCTTTGCAGGATTTTCTTTTTTCAGCTAAAGCAAAGGATAAGTTCACCTGAGTGGAACTCAAGGTCATGGGACTCTGCCCTCTTCCAGGCAGCATACAGGAGGGCAGCCTGCAGTATCAAAGGGTACAAGGTTGGCTCAGATCCAGGATTTCAGTTTCTGGCATAAATATAACATTTAAGAGGGAAAAATATCAGACATTTGAGAGCTTGCATAGAGACATTGTAGCAAAGAAGAAAGCACCTACTGAATATCTGGTGTGTTTTGTAAAGCTGATTCGAATGCAGTGAAGAGAACCAATCTAGGTGGTGGAGTATAAACTGAGAGAGCCAAGAAAACAAAAGCAATAAAATAAAAATAAAACAAAAAGCTATTTGCCTATGTGTTACCCACTTGGAGTCCGGTTCACTCACTCTGGTGTGGAACCCAGGGCCATGGCAAGGGAATGGGGTGGGGCCTTTGGGAGCTTTGCTTGGCTACACTGGAACCAAGGAGGTGAAGGGTATAAAGCCTGCAGGCCCAGGGTCTGGACTTCTTCCAGGAGTGGCCCTAGAGTGGGCAAGGCCCTCCACCTGTCTTGGGTGTGGGTCACACGAGGGTGGGAGGCCTACCACAGCTCTGCTCAGTATTCATATACTAAGCTTCCACATACTTTAACCAGAGGTTCTCAACCTTCCTAATGCCGCGACCCCTTAATACAGTTCATGTCGTGGTGACCCCCAACCATAAAATTATTTTCGTTGCTACTCTATAACTGTAATTTTGCTACTGTTATGAATCGTAAATATCTTTTTGTTTTCCGATGGTCTTAGGCGACCCCTGTGAAAGGGTCGTTCGACCCCCAAAGGGGTCGCGACCCACATGCTGCTTTAACGCACATAATTTTTTACTTTTCAAATCATGTACCATTTTCTCCCAGATTCAAGCATGTCTACAATAACGAAAATCCAATGTTTAAGAAAAAGTTTGATTCTCTCATTAGTTGAGTGAATGCCAACCTCTCCATTTCCTCACCTGTTGTAAAATAGGAATAACAGGCAAGGATGCAAATGAAGCTTTCCAGAAGGGCCTGGCATCACACCCTGATGCACAGTAGATTCTTAAGGCTCTCCCGTTTCCCCTCCCTTATCCAAACGAAAACTATCAGGTTGCTGACAAATGCTATGGGTGTACTTCAAATCAGTGCTTGTCAACCTTTAATGTGTGGACTAATCTCACTTGGGAGAATCCTGTGAGAGTGCAGATTCTGATTCAGTGGCGTCAGGATGGGATAGGGGTGCTGCCGCATTCCCAACAAGCTCCCAGGTCAAGCCTATGCTGCTTATTGGCAAGAATCTAATACTACTAAATTCCATTACTTCACACAACTACCCCACAAAAAGCCTCTCAAAGGGGGCTCCACAGATTTTTCTTTAAAAAAAATCTCTTCCACTTTGGCTTAGTGCAGTCACTGACCTAGCCACGTGCCCAGCACTAGCCAGCCAGGTTAGGGCAACAATGAATCCATCCTTTAGTCCTGGAGGGTTCACAGCACTCTGTACAAAAGATCTTGAAATTGTCTTTCCACCACTTTTGGCTTTTTGATCTTAGCTTTTGCCTCTGATGATAATTATTCCTTAATTAGCACCCACCACTGTGTCATTTAAATAATTATAGTAAGTGCAGCTTGCAACCTCTGCAGGCAATCTTCAAACAAACTGATAAAACAAGATCCTATGTTGATTTTAAAAAAAGACAAAACTGACCTAAATAAAACAGTTATGTGCACACCACCCCCAGTGGAATACACAGATCTGTTATAACTTCCATTCATATCTGCTACTTAAGAGTTGATGTATTTTGAATCAAAGAAAGTATTTGGGAAATTGTAAATGTCAGAATATTAATTTTGCAAGCAGTGGCGCGAAAGTAAAACAATTCAACTAAGGTAGGATCCGGCTTAAATTCCTATTGGGAAGGGCTGCAGGATCTCCGAACTATTTTTTCTTTATTCGGAGTTTTTGGAGGAGCTTGGTAACTTCTGGGTGACTTAAAAGCAAATAATCCATTTGTGCAACAAGGGGCGGGCTTTTCACTGAAAGCAATTTAGTAGTTTTCTAATTTCCCGGTGGATCTCCATTAACCGCCCACCAAACAGGGCCGTCGGAGCCCGATGAATCATGCACCTCTTGGGAGATACCGATCGCGCTACTCTTTAGAACGCCGTGTTCCCACTACAGCCTTAAAAAGCAAAACAAAGTTTAAAAAATCCCCCAAACTTTCTCCTTTTCTTGAAAAGGTAATACATTCACTCGAAAACCTTAAATAGCACAAAAAAAGTGTACAGCGAAAAATTAAAACTCTTTCCATTTTCTCCCACCTCCCTGTCATCCCGAGACAATCGCTGGTTCATTTCCTCAAACTTTTTATTATTGAAAATTTCAGGTATACAAGAGAGGCTAAAATAATGAGCCGTGTGTACGCATCTCACTGGCTTGTTTGATTGGTCCTCCTTCAGTTTTTATAGGAGTTATTTTAAAGTAAATCCCAGACACGTTATTTTGTAAAACCTTTAGTATGCCTGTTTTTTTTTTTAACATAACCACATTGCCGTTATCACACCCAACAAGGTTAACGATAATTCCTCAATACCATCCAATATTCTCGGGGTCACTTTTAACGGGTGCGGGGCAGACGGAGGGAGAACTACGAAGGTTAAGGACCGAGGGGTGGGAGGGGGCGCATTAAAGAGCCGCGGCCCCCATCGCTCGTGGCTGCGGCGTCGGGTGCCTAGCGCCCCGGGCCTCCCCGTTCCCGCTGTCGTTACCTGCGCCGAGCCAGCACGGGCAAGTCTGGGTCGAGGGCAGCTCCGAGCCGCGAGCTCCCCGCTCCCGGGAGGCGGCTCCAGCAGGCCCGGCGCAGCTGTACAACCCACCGTCCCCAGACACTGGCGAGTCCCTCGGGGGGAAACGATTGACACAGCTGCCTGCACTGCGCCCCCGACTCTCCCCCGCGACACCTGCGTCTCCCAGTGGGGTCAGGAGCTGAAGCTGGCTCCCGAGCCCGGGGAAGCCAAGGCCACGGGAGCCCCTAAGCCCGTCGCCCACTCCCGCTCAGGGCTCAGCACGCGCGACCTCGCGGACCGGGACTACAACTCCCGTCGGGCCCCGCGGCCGGGCCAATGGCGGGCGCCGGAGCATGCGGGGCGCGGCGCCTGCGCGGCGGTTTGAGTAAGCGGCCGCGCGATTGGCTGCGGGGTCAGGCAGCCGCGCGGGGCCTGTGGGAAGCGGAGTGACGGAGCGAGCGGCTGTTGGAGGAAGGAGGTGGGGGCCGGGAGCGCAAATGGCGTTGAGATGGTTCAGGGCCCTGTTCAAACTCCAGCGCTGACCATTCACCGGCGGAAGCGGCGGCGCAGGAGGCGGCGGCGGCCCAGCGGGGGCACGTAGCGGACTCCAGTACCGGCTCCGGTGGCCAGGGAGGCCTAGGCCCAGGCCCTGCTGGCTGCACTCAAGGCGGGGAGGGAAGTTGCGGTGCCGCCGCTCCTCCCCCCCTTCCACCAGGTTTCTATTTACCGCGAGCGGAGTCGCGGGTTCTGACGGTGGCGGAGCCCCTTGCCCTTCTTTACGCACCAACCGGCCTGGTCCTCCCGCGCAGGACTCCGGCACCGGCCCGTGGGATTTTGGGGGCGGGAGAGGCGGAGGCGGCCCGAGGCCAAAGCACCCGCCAGGCGCCGAGGGTAAGTGAGGTCTCGGGCGGCTGCCTAGGCCCGGAGCGAGCTAGTGAGAGTGGGGGAGGCAGGGGTCTGGCAGGGAGTGATGGAAGTCGCGCTGTCTCACCTACCCGGCCTCTAAGGAAGTTGGGCAGGGGAACGACCTGAGAACTCTTTTTTTTTTTTCCCCCTCGGTTTTATTTGTCCTGCTTTTGAGTTCTTTCCGGGCGGCTGCTAATTTACTTCCCTCCCCAAGCGCGGTCGAGTGTGTTCGTTTCAGCCCCGAATCCTTGGCCGTCTTTTCCTCCGCCCCTGGTCGTCTCCGAGGCCTTACCCTGCCCTGGGGATTCGATGGCAGAGGCTTCCGGGGCGTCGGAAGCAACATCCCTTTCCTGGGCGGTGGGGGCGGGGAGGAGAAAAGTTGCGGGAGCTTTCAGCCATAGGGGGCCCGCTTCTCTCGCTACCCCTAGGCACACAGACCACCCGCAGGTGAGGATTTCTGGGTGGTTACTTTTGCCTATTCCGGCTTTCATTCCTAAACCCTTGGGGAGCCGAAAGACTTGATTTGGATGGGGGTTAAAGTGTGAGGACTTTTTATCCCAGTGCGCTTCCCTGAAGATTCGACCTGGCTTTGGGCTAACGAAAAGGCCCAGCGACCATACTTAGTTTTGAATCATTCTTTCCTTCATAGTTGGGATGATAGTCTTTGGAAGGGGAAGAAACCTGAGCAAAAAAGCCTTGTGTAGTTGAAATATTCTTATTATGTCAAGTATGTCCGCACACTTATTTTTGAATTTTTACGCACTTTACACTCTAGGCTTAGATAATGCCATCACAATAATCTGTCTAGTGACTTTTAAAAAAAGACATTATGGAAAACTATAAAGGAAGTCAAAAGTAAGGGTATATTATGTAATGAACTCCCATGTATGTACTCATCTCTCAGATTGAACAGTTATTAACTCTTCACTAAATTTTTCTTGTTTCCATGCTTTACATTCCACACTCTTTGAAGTTAGAGAATCGTTGGCATTATTTCATCAGTATTTCAGTTTATATTTGTAAAATATATGAACTCTTTAAAAAAACAAGCATGATTTTCTTACCACTTAAAATAATTAATTTTGTAATACCAAATATTCACCTGCAGACTTTCAACTTGGAACAGTGAATGCTTTGTGGTTTTAGGACCATTTTGCAATGAGTTTTTCTGGTGTGGGCCTGAAGGAGCTCAAGTGTACATTTTTGGTTTGGCCTTTAGTCAGCATTTTTAGGTCATTACCGTGTAAGTGTATCCAAATCGTTCCAGCTTTGTTGGTGTGTGTAAATGTAGGTCTGTAGATCAGGGCTTTACATTCTTAGAGAAATGAAAAGAAATACTTTATTTTGTAGCTGCCAAATAAATATACTTAGTTTTGTTTAGGATATACTTAAGAAGGACAGTAAGATTCTTAGTGTAAGTCTACAGTAGAAGAGGAAATAGATCTCCGTTAGGAAAATGTTTGGTGACGTGTGAAAAGGTCTTTTAAACAAACTGTGTACTCTTAATGCACATGTGTATGATGATTAAATTAATTATTTTGTCAAATTAGAGTTGGCTTCTAACAAAGCAAGAAAGGGGAAAATCCTCTACTGAATATATATATAAAACTAAGTTTATAGCGATTCACTATAAATTACAAGAATTTAAGTTAATAAAGGGAAAACATTTAAAGTATAGATCAAAACACATTCAAATGTGTAAGTCAAATATCACTCCAGTTGTAAATTTCAAAGTATGAAGATTTTTTTTCAAGCCCTTAGGCAATTGTTTATTTTTTCTAGCTGTATTTATTATATTGATATTTAAACTTTAAAAGGTCAAAGTGTAAGAAATGGATAGAATTGATAGTGTTTAAAAAGTACTGTAATTAGTTTTTAAAAATGTTTGACCCCTGATTTTTGTCCTGAAAATTTTCTTGTCTTAGTATTTATTATTAACATGTAGATTCATCAGATGAATTTTTTATCTTTTATGAAGTGGAGAGGAAAATAAAGTTAAATGTTTCTGTTGCTTCATTTAATAATCCATGTACCACTGTGATCTGCCGGAGTTCAACAGCTCCAGAAAATATAACTCAGCAAATGAGCACAGTACTATAGGGACAAGGAAGATAGATTAAGTATGGTTTATTGTGCTAGGGAGGTGACCAACTAAGGAATGTTTTTCAAATCATGCTTTAAATTACATTAGACCAAGAATCAGAATCTTTAAGCTTGAGTTAAAAGCTGCAGGTTCTAATGTGTGAGGAAATAGCACAATTTTCCCAATCCCCCACCCCGTCGTGAATAAGTGCTCTGAAATTACAAAGAGTTAAATTTAGTCAATTATTTGATGTTTCTGTGACCCTGCAAAATATGAACATTTTGTGCTTAAGATTTTTATATTAGGGATAATTACCCTATTAGATTATTTTTTAAAGGTAAAAGTGATGTTTATGGAAATAATAAGTAGATTCATTTAAACATGAAAAAATTGATGTTCCACTATAGGTTGGTTTTGTGTATGCTGTATAATGAGTTGGTTAGTCTTACTTTGTAAGCAGCATATGAATATGTGCTGATTGTAAAAAAAAAAAAAGTTGACATGGAAGTATATAGAATAAAAAATGAGGCCCCCCTCTTTGTATACTCTCCCCATATTTATTTAACAATTTTAAAGATTTGTATCTTGAATGTTGAAAAGCCACATGGGGAGAATCCCTGAGTTCTTATTTTTATATTCAGTGTTAACACTTAAGTATGTGGTGGTTATATATTTTCTTACATTTTTTTTTCCACAGAGAATATGAAACAGGTGTCAAAATGACATCCAGATTTGGGAAAACATACAGTAGGAAAGGAGGAAATGGCAGTTCAAAATTTGATGAAGTCTTTTCCAACAAACGGACCACCCTTAGCACAAAATGGGGAGAGACCACATTTATGGCTAAATTAGGGCAGAAGAGGCCCAATTTCAAACCAGATATCCAAGAAATTCCGAAGAAACCTAAGGTAGAAGAAGAAAATACTGGTGATCCTTTTGGATTTGATAGTGATGATGAGTCTCTACCAGTTTCTTCAAAGAATTTAGCCCAGGGAAAGGGTTCCTCTTATTCAGAAACTAGTGAAACTGCTCAGCTGGAAGACGTCACTTCTATACTTGCAGCTAATAGCAAAATTAGTCATGCAGTGGGTGAAGACAGTGTTGTTTCTGATAAATGCTTACATTTGGAGGATACTTTGCTTGAGAAAGAAAAGAGCACAAACCGAATCTTAGAAGATGATACCAGCAAAAGTAGCTGTGCTAAATTAAAGACTTCAGGTAAGCTTTGATTTTCTTTATTCTGAGCCAAAAGAGCTTTGTATAAGCCATTTAGTTAAATGATGTAAATTCTAAAATATACTTCCTGGGTTTTCTGTCTGCATTTATGATTAATGGGAACCATAGATAACTTTGTAGAAAAATTTAAGAACTTTAAAGAAACCAATTGGGGGTTGAAATTTTATTTAAACAACTTGGATAATAATGTGTCCAGACTATTAACTCATGGTAGGTACATTTGGGAACAGTCTTTCATAAATCCCTAACTCCAATTCCAATAAGAAACATCTCTTTGTTGTGTTAGGCTTACACAGTATCTCATTTCTATTACTCTGGGGGATTTGGATGGTTACTGATAATGAAAATGAGATGAGCATTTACAGTGAGGATTAGTTAGGTTTAGTAGTGTTAGGCTTTCCTCCAAAACTAGTTTAGGAAGATTAAGGAGGTATTGAATGCAAACATTGAATAATTGAACTTCATTGCAAATTGAGATTAGTTTGTAGTCTGTTTGGCACTGGTAGCCACTTGTATTAATAGGTTTTAATCCACAAAACCAGTTGTATTTTTAAAATGTTAATTTGTAAATCTGGCATCTAGTGTTCATTCCTAAAACAATATATTTTATCAGTTGTACCTCTACTCCTTTGGTAAAGGATTTGAGACTTATAAAAATGATGAGTGTGCAATTAACTAAAAGACTGACGAGCTAAGATCAGATATGGCTGGGAGACTGTGTAAGTCTTAGCAATAGGACAAGGATGGCACTGTAGTTGAAAACAAACCTTAGTTCTTGACTTCTTGGCAAAGTTTAGTGATATAAAAGGTTGTATAGATCCCATATTTTGCAAAGAAGTAAAGACAAAACTTTCTTAGTACCAACTTCTTAAGAGAACTTTGTCCTGTGGAGGCTTGGTATAAGGTGCCTCAAACAGTATGATAAAAGACTGCTTTGCATAGTTACAGTAAAAATGCTGAACATTTTTCACTCTTGCCCTTGGATGAGAGGATGAGCCAGCTGTTATTGTCATTCCCTTGATTTTCCCGGTTAATTCTGATTTGGCAGTCCTTATGCTTTGCCCA